GACCAAAAAATTAAAGGGTTGTGTCCTAGACACGACCGCAGTATGATGTAGAACTACGCAAAATTGATGTATGTCATGAATTTTTGATTAATATACTTTATCTTAAATTTTTGAAGTATTTCAATGTTTCCGTTATGGTTCAAAACTCGCGACAATTCATGTTAGCATCATCAGACCACGGTTCATCTTACGCATGAGATAATTTATTTAAATTTACTGTAATGGTTAAGAGTTGACAGAATTTCCCTTACATAACTACCTTGGGTTGATCAATGTTGAGTTATTTTGCTGTGATCAATGTACACTAAATTTGACATCGACATTGACTACAATAGGAACTGACACTATTTCGTCACACATTTTTTGTTGATTTGCAGTATAGTACACAAGAATGCCATGCATATTGTGGGATAAAACAATTGCCAAAAAATACATTATTTTTTTCCAGTAGCTCCATCATTAGTTTTAAGTTAGGTTTCTGAAGCAGAGAAGAAAGTGAATATTGCATTTTATGATAACGCAACAGACAGTTGTTTTACCTGTCAGAAGACGGTACTTTAAATATTGAACAAAATGTTGGTTCATATGTCTACGAAGTAGGGGAGGAAGGGGTATAACGATCATACGGGGTTTAAGCACCTCTTTGTTCTCCAATTTGGAGGACAACCCTAACATAAAATTACCATGCATCATCATTATGTACTTTACAGCGTGTTCGTAGAATGATTGCAAACTAGAATACTGTGACTTTTCTCAAATTAAACGTTTGGTTTCCAATAAGTAGGTGCTTAGTACAACATTAATTGAAAATTAGGGGATTCAGCTATTGAATTTCAAAGTCAGTGCAAAAGCTTTTATACAGGTTCTCCACCTGTTTAATGTTTTGATAGTAAACATCATAGATAAGGTACGCCGGTGCAAGTTGAAACAGTACGTATATCTCTTTGGAAGTGAATATTCACTGTAATTATTTTTGAGAGGCATTGTGTACTACCGCAAACTATATTAGAAATAATCTCAGTGATTATTCCCTTCCGCTAAGAGCTACATCTACCGTTTCAACTTCCCCACGCGTTTCTACTTGCCCCGGTGTAGGGTAATGGATTTTGGTTGGACCTATTCATGTCATTTTCGCACTGCGTCTAATTGTATGCCGTGTTTTTTTCTATGAATATTACATATGGACATGAAAAATGTGTGTTTGGTGAAAAATTCTAACTTTCTAGCACAGACAAACAGACATAACACTCGCAAGTTGTTCATCGAACAAGCATTTAACGGTCAATTTAAAAGTATCGTAGTTGGTAGTACCGCCACCTGTGGCGCGCATAGTCAATTCCCTTGCGTTTGACGTTTACACACTACCGCCATCTGTTCAGCGTACTACCCACCACAGTGTATTCAACAGATGGCGGTAATGTTTTTGCGACGATGTTTTACAGTGAGAAATATTCTATGTGTTATGTCTGTTTGTTTGTGTTTCTAGTTTCCAATAATACTCAATGTTCAATGTTCTCAAAATAGGATTTTATGGAAACGCGGGCTTGTATTCACACAAGCATTCCTGAGTAATTGCGCTAATTGGGTTCTTAAATTTTAAAAAAGTGAGTCGATTTTTATACATCATCTGAAAGAGCTTCGTTTTTTTAGCACAACGATATTTTTTTCGAAACCATAGACTTTCATCTCGATTTTCAAATCAAAGTTTAAAGCAAAATATAGGAGTGTACTAATAAACTAACAAATCGACAGCTCGCTACCATACAAAGTCCCACTGAGGGGCGCTAAGACGGTGATATTTGCTAATGTAATCGCACTTATTCAAAATACTTCCAGTGCTCCAATTTTGATCAAATTTCGGATTTCGGTTCCATGTTTAATGTAGATTACGAATATGCCTTTACCTCAATACCCTTAAAGAACCCAATTGGAAACAGTAGATAGAGAATCTTTCTTTATGATGCATGGTATACGCATTTGGGTTAACATCCGACGCCCCTCCTTCTATACATATTCTGCACAAAAAATACTTTCTATGTCCCGCCCCTGACAGGATTTCCCACGGTTTTTTTTTATGAATGGGCGGGGCAGAAAGTATTTTTGTGCAGAATATGTAAAAAAGGATGGACTTCGGATGTTTATCTAATTGCATATATAGAGGTACCAGATATGTTTTACAGTCAACAGCACTAGGACTAGAAACTGTAATTAATAATAATTTAAATTTCAAAATAATTAAAGTTGAAAAGACGCATCTGTGTCACTTGAAAAGTAATACATGTAAAGCACACAAATACAAGAAATAAGGATCATTTAAAGGGAAAAAAAAGTGTTTTACAGTCATTTGGTGGTAAATCACCCACAGAATAACATCAAAATATTGTGAGCGATTTTTTTTTCTCAAATTCGAAGCTCTCTGGCAGTAGTTGGGTAAAAAAAATTAACGGAATTGAACTTTTTTTTTTACTACAATGTAGTTTGCTTAACATTTATTTCCCGTTCATGTTTTTTTTCGGGTTGTCGTTATAGAGGTTGGAGGGGGGAGGGGGTGTTTTGCATAAATAACATTTCCCTGTTTCGTATTAGGGGATTTTCATTAACTACGTAGACAATTTTGTGGGATTCTTGCCCCCCCTCGTAGTTAATGAACAGCCCCTTAGTTGAACGGGACCCAAGTCACCTTTAACCACTGACTTGCTCCTGCTTACTGCAGGACCAAGTGCCACACCGTCCGAAGCGGTAATGAGGAGAAACGCGACAGCAGTGCTGTTTTATATCTTTTCAGAACGATGTGCAACCAAATGGTACTCGATTATGATGACTGGGTTTGGGAAAAACGCTTATTTCACGAAAACAGTGATAAAATTATCATTTGTACATTTTTTAAAAGTTTTATTACAGAAAAATTGGAAAAAAAAAATCATTTCAGCAGGTTTATAATGTAATATTTTATCGATTGGCGTATTTGGATTTTAATTTCATCTATAAATGACAAAGTTACAAGCGTTCAAAACCTAACACTACTTCACCACACATATTTTTTTGATTTGCACCCCAGTATAGTCGACAAAGACGTAGTGCTACGTCAAAAAAATAATAAAACGGTGAAAACTGAAACTAAATCAAGGACGTCCAGATTACGGGTCCGATGTGTTGACCACTCGTTTTTTAACGCTTGAAAAAATGAAATGGTTGAAGGCGGATAACCCAAGTAACAATTTTGGTTTTATGAGGATTCTGCAGACCATGATTTAGACTTGTAGCATGTTTTAAAACCTCGATAAAACTTGCAATGTTACTTGGAAAGAGCTACCTCACGTTAGCCGAAAATCATTCATAAGTCACGCTTATTAAATTCATATGTGTCGTTTATAAGTCGAGGCTTATGCAATTCTTCAGTTCATTTGTCTCAGTGTAGGAGTTCTACATGACACGGTAACCCCACAATACCCAATAATGACTACAAAGTATGCCTTTTTGAGGGAAACTGGGATTACCCATTAAATGAGTAAATTTTTACTCATTTATGAGTAATTACAACTACAAGAACAAATATTTGCATATATAGACATTCTCGAGGTGATTTTCTAGCCGCAGTTAATTTGTTAAAACATTTTTTTTCGAAAATTAAGCTTACATAATAATTACAAAGTTGTTTGAAAAACCTTCCGACGACCACATTACAGAATCTATTCATGTGGTAAAATATTTCAAATTCTGCATACTTTTCATACAAATCTTCAATAGAATTTTACATTTCCTGCTTGGGTGTATCTTTAAGATTTCTTACATGCCTGGTTGGTCAATTTAACATTCCTGATATACAAACGTGGTTTAAACCATTATCCGCCTTGCTAATCAACAGAATAACGCTTACAATGTTGACTCTTCTTTATTCATGGTAGCGTTCATTATGGCTCGTCTTAGTAGTTCAAATCATCACGAAACACCAGGAACAATCAAGAAATCTACGGATGCAGGCAGACAGAATGAAGCCACATGCCACACCCAGTAAGAACCCTTGTCCGTTTGACGCTTTACTGTCGGACTCTAACAATGTGTATACATTGACGGAACGCAGTGACAAGCTTGGCCATATCGTCAAACAAAAGGGATTGGTCACTTGCAGTAGAATTGTTAACGATTATCATCTTAATTTTTTTTTTGGCTGACTTGCTAATTTCGAAATTCCTCTAATGATTATCCCCATGATATCATCTACATTTTACAACACATTTTCTAAGCCACATTTGTCCAAGCCCAAATTGGATGCACGTACCTTGTTGCACCGCGTGCAATCCCGCCAAGAAGAAGCTGGTACCGTTGCTGTTTTATAGTCTTGTAGTATAATTCAATTCACAGCTGTCCAGACTTAATCATTTTACCATACTTGGCCACGTGCGCCTGGGCGGTCAGCCATATTGGCCGACTGCCGTCGCTGGTCCAAGCAACTCAATTGAAATGTTACCAAGTGAGTTGGCGGCGGCGTTGTTGTCGTCATCGTAGTCACAGTCGTCGTCGTCGTCATCATCATCGTCGTAGTTGTACGCAATAATTTTTGCTCACTGCATGGCTTCTGTTTCACGTCTGCTGAGCCATAATGGTGACGGCGATGATGGCCTTACAAATTGTCTGTTGCTGTTTTTTTCGCATGATGTTTAGAAATAGCGCCTTCAAGCTTCTTGGGTCGTTTGTATGAAGCTGAAAAAAGAGATGTACCGACGGACGGTATGCAATTATTCGCCATATGATGGCGCTATCCACCATCGGATATTGATTGATTGACTGGCTATGCTGTGGGTAGGCTAGGCTTGCTTCATTCATGACTTGACTGCAACACCTTTTTAAAATGGAATGGTTCTATGCAATACCGCGGGTGATCTATATTGGGCTGTAATTGAACTAGATTCAGCGACAGAAATGAACTATGTATGTTTCTCCCATCCGGTCTTCGCTCAGAGTCGTGATCTAATGATCCGTTCTTTTCTCTGTATTTTCAGATTGCCAACAACCCGTGCTCAAATCTACTAACTGCCCATTTTCGTCTGGATGGTCACCCGCATGTGAACTATCTGCACAAAGTGATTCAGGGTAACAACCAGACGTACCTATTTTTCGCACCATCACAGGTGAGTTATTATTGATTCAATATACTTTCATAAGCCGTATAATCTATACTTTCAATTTTTCTCCCTTTCTGCAGGGTGATCTACATTCGCATGTCCGCGTCCGGAAGCGACTGCGAGAGCCGGAAGCACGTCGACTATTCCGCCAAATGTGTGAAGTTGTCAAGACGTGCCACGAGCAGGGCATCGTACTGCGTGATCTCAAGCTTCGAAAGTTTGTGTTTGCCGACAGTGAAAGGTAAGTCCGCGTTTACTTCATCGCTGTAGAGATTAAATATCTGCCGGAACGACGTTGATGGCGAAGAGAAAGAGCTTCTATTTTTGATTTGTCGCAGTCAGTCACCCGGAGTCAGAAATAGCTTTGCTCTATCTTTTACTCGCTATAACGGTTGATCGTTGCAAAATTGTAGCAAAATGTAGGCGATATTTCGTCAGAGTTTTTCAGCAGTACAACAGCAAAAGCGACAGCTCTGCGGTCATGGATCATTTAGCTGTGTGCCGTATTGTAGGTCGGGTTTATGCAAAACAAATGATGAAAAAAAAAATCACATTACTGATTCTCTCATAGAGCCCGACGTAGAAGATTGGTTCAGAACGAGAACCAACGAATAGATACGAGACGATCCGTGCGCGCGACTGGCTGCTATGACGAACGTCGCGAGCTCAATCGAGACGTGAGCTTGCAGCTTTGTTTGTGCATTATTGTTTCCTAATGCAAGTACTGACACTTTTTTTACTGCTAGGGCTGAATTTTAGATACAACATTAAACCAACAACGGGGCCTCCACAATCTAGAATAAATGTGGATTATGAAACTCATTTTTGTTTTGCTTCTGACGTTCAATGCTTCTCGGTCGCAGGTAATTTACAGAACGTGAATTTCGACAATCATCATCATCCCTCCCCTCCGTTTGTGTATATGTAATTACTAAAACACACGAATGTGCCAAATTTTCCTTCACACCGTCATCATCGTTATGATGAGCTGTTTGAAAACCTTTGAGTACTTACATACCTTCAGCTTCAGTCTGCAGTCTACAGCCTCAGCTAGCAAGTGTGAGCCAAACAATCGAAGTGTTTTTATTGCTCGTCTCGGATTCGGTCTCAAAATCGTTGAGCAGTGTGATTCATGCATTGCTCACCACTGTGTACCCTAGTTGTTGAGCCCGGTGGCGATTGGTCAGGGACACTATGTGGCTCACTGTTTGAAATTTGCTTGACGTGTTTAGGATCTAGGGAACATAATGTCATTGATTTAATACTTAAAAAGGGTTTTGGTTTTCGATAGAGACTGACAGAGAGGGAGAGAGAAAACTTTGTTGAAGACCACCTTTTAATTGAATGTATGATATTATGCACCAACAGTTTTCCGGACGACACTGTATCATGATGACGTAGTAACTTCCACCAGTTCTTGTATTGAATGATCATGTCTGATGATTGTCAGCTTCACCAGCAGGCCTGGGTTCAATCCCAGTCGGCGCCGCCGGGATGTTCTGAGGCATAACATCTCTGATCACGCCTTCCTTCGGATGGGAAGTAAAGCCGTTGGTCCCCGGTTCATGAGTTGATGGGTCGATAGGTAGGGTCCAGGTGTGGGAGCTGCCTTCCTGGCACGTCGGTAGCATTGGTGCTCAGCACGGAAAACAAGATCGACGGAAAAAAAAAACAAACCAAACGATTGTCAGCTTCAAAATCTTATTTTCTTGAAGTTCCATTATATAATGAGCCAACATGGCCAAACGCAAAATAAGGCTACAAAACGCCAAAATAGTGTTAAATCGTCAAATTAAGTCAAAAATGGCTTTAAAACCTTTCCTGGAAATATCCTAACGCTTGCTTGAATCTTAAATGACCATAAAACGATAAAAAAGGCTAAGCAAACCGAAAATGGCTTAAAAAAGATGAAATGGTAAACACACCTAAATAGCTTTAAAATTCCAGATGGTAGCCTAAAACACTAGCATAGCTTAATCCTTTCCTTCCCAGAAGGTTTTACGTTGTTTTGAGATGTAAAAATGTGTTTTGACGAAAGTGATTGAACAAAACATGTTCCGTACAGTCTAAAATTATCGAATCCATCAAAACAAGTTGGTTTTAGAAATGCAAACATGGTTTAAAAACGTCAAAATGGCCTTAGAAACTCCACAACATCTTTTTTCCAAATGACACTTTAACACTACTGTGTTCGTTTTAACAGAACAAACAATCCCAAAGTTGATCCCCTGCGTACGCCTCTGTCCCTTTCGCGAGCAGTTATTTTGGGGGCGGTTCACTTCGTGCGCGGGGTGGTAGTGAGAAACGGCAAAATTTTCGCAATCCTTGCTCTCCTAAATTTGTTTGTGAACGTTATTCAGACAGAATGGTGTTTACCTAACTATTAGCGTGGTGTGGCGCGCATGTACCTTCGGTCGGTCTAACGAAGTCCCCCAAATCATACGCGGGCTTGAGTCGAGAGCCGATTGCCGAGAGCGAGACGGGATGGTCGTGCAGCAGCGGGAGCGGAGCACCTTCCTAAACCGAGAAACGAGATCTGCAGCGACAGAGGTGATGGCGCGTGAGTTACTTCGGTCCCTCGTTAAGTAGCCCACACTCACTGCTGCAGTTCGGTTGCGGATAGAGCTACCACTTAAGCACAACCGTGCCCCTTGCCTTCTACAATCTGCATGCGGATTGCTAATGCACATTGTAACAAGTACACAAACTCTATAACAGAGCGCAACAACAATTGCCAGCAACTATCCGATTTGAAGGTTATGGGAATTGATAAATTATGACTCGAAGACTGAAATGAGCATTCATGCAAGCCCTTTGAGCATAATTGAAATTGGATAACAAGGTCGCGTTTTTGAAGTGTCACAATGTGTGGTACTTACATGTGTTTTATAAACAATTTTTTTGCATTGTCAGGAGGTTTCGAGTTCGTAATGAACGTATATAAAAATATTACGGAAGAAGTTTTTATCGCACGTTGGCAGTGTGTATAATTTTTCATTGTTGTCCAGTTGTATTGAACGAGTGCTGCTCGGTAGAGCCCTGGAAATGTTTATCTTGACACCACTTCGTTGTACACGTTGTATGATGCTGCAATGTTGTATCAGTCGCCATTTCTACTTATCTGTTGAAACAAAGAGTACGGACCAAGATTTACTCAATCTCGGTAGACAGTTGGTTGCAATCTACCCGGAGACACTGAGTAATCAATTACAGCTGGCTGTCTTCTTAGAAAATCCTTCTGACTTTTGTGTTGCAATCTACCTAAAACTTCTATAAATCTACCGCAGCGGGGCCCAATAATTATTGCACGTGGCTGACCTTCATCGTGTAACTTTTACTAGAGCGCATTGGATTTCGTACAGAAGCTAAATGTCATCATCACCATTTTTACTATTACGCAAAAATCGTTTTTAATGCCCCGACGTACCGCGCTCGTCTTCCTCACATACTACTGCAGCTGCAGTCTGCAGTACAAAACAGTCGTCATCATCATCATCGTAGTTTACTGCCACCCACGCATTTGCCTAGTAGTACGCACCACATCGCTCCATTGATAATTTGACATGCTAAAAATTGCTGAAACCCATCCATCTATCCATCCACCCGTCAGATACAAAAGTAAGCGGGTGGCCATTTGAAGATGCTGTTTCGGCTTTAAATAGTACATATTGAAAGAAGTGTACCGGTTGTGGCGGTAAATGCCACCAAAACCAGAGCACCGCAAATACAAGGGAAGGTAATGTGGACTCTTACGAGAGATGACCGTTTGTGATTTTAAACTGAAGAAAAGGCCAAAATTAGTCGCGTTTAATTAGTGTGAGTCATTTTGCTTAGTCGTCGATTTATTTCAGATCTGAATTATGACAAATGTTCTATATCGGTCAGGCATCATCCCAAGTCTTTTCTTAGCGATTTTTTTTTATTTTCTGCTACCAGAGGCGGTAAATTGATTTTTTTTTTAATTTATGCTTAATTTTATACGCTGTTTTGAAAATCCCACAATCTGGGTCAAGCCAACCGGAGAATGTAAAATTCTCATTGGGATGGATCAACTTTACAATCCCCTGTTCATCACTGTTCTTTCGATCTTTATTGAAGTTCCCAACAACTGTGCCAAATTTGAACGATTTTGGTTATGCTCTCGATTTGCGGTAAAACCTTAAAGTTTGAGTGGGAAAAAAAAGATACTATGTAGGTCATTTGCTTGTCGAAAATTAAAAAATTGTTCAATTCTAAGATTTTGAGTGACAGAACTATGCTGAATATTGTTGTCTTCGTCGTTAAGGCCGTGGCCGGGATTGAACGGTGTTAGTAACATTTCGATCATAATTGTTGTTGTAACATACCGTATGCGTGATAATGTTTGCACCATTGAGCAATGTCAAAATTAAAAAAATCTCAAAAATTTCGTTTTCGAGTTTTTGTTATTTATTCAAAGGGGGGATGTTTCTCAAACTATGTTAATCATCGATCGAGTTTCCACTTGCTGCAATTACGGCCTTCACACACTTCCGGAATGCACAGCAGGTTCTTATAAAGTAGTCTGGTTCCATTTCTCTCCAGGTACGGTTCAATGTTTGTCTGAGGCTTGCTGTACTCGGGTGGCGTTTAGAACAGGCCTTGGCCTTCATGACGCGGCATATTGAGTAATCCAGCAGAACGGAAGATGTTCCTGCAACCACTTCTGAGTGCGGTTCGAACATACTTACTTAAAATCCCGATGTAGACACCGGGTACATTTTTTTGCCATCGGAAGCCACCAATCCAAACACCATAACGCTAGCGGGATGCTTGGCCACGTCTTTTACCGGACGAGAATTAATATACCGGTCGCTTCTGGAATTTGATACGGGATCGACGGTAAACATGCTCTCGTCGGTGAACAGGATTACCGGATTTTTTCGCTTAAGGAAGTTCAAGATTTTCTTGCATCGTTCGACTCGTAGCTCCCGGATGCGGTTGGTAATCATGTGAGTTTTTTCCGTGCCCTCGACTTCGCCCCGCAATCTTCCTTTACGATCTTCACTGATTCCGTGTTCCTTTGCCATTTTCCTTATTGAACGCACTGGATTCACCCGAATCTTCCTTTTGATAGCAGCGATAACCCTCGGAACCCGAGCTGACCTCGGACGACCGGTGGGCACCTTCGCGGATAGTTGTCCTTTTTTTTTCTCGGTCTAAAACCCTTTTGACGGTCCACCGGGACACTCCCACGGCGATTAAAATGTCTTTTTGCGACATTTGCGAGTGGGACAAATCACGAATACGCTGCCACTTCGTCATGGTGCAACTTGACAAAGTGAAAACTAAGTAAATCATTTTCTTCTATACACAGCCTACTACGGTATGAGCTATTGGTTACATGCATGCAAAGAAAACCAAGGCGTTGTATGCACAGGTGAAACGGGAACCTTATTTGTACGATGGTGCAAACATTATCACGCATACGGTAAAGCCTAGTGACGACAGGTTTTACTTACTAACCAGAAGATCATGAGTCCCAGGCTTCATCTGATTATAGCTATAGCTAAGCTAGAGCGTTGCTTCGTTTATTTTTCGGTATTTTTTATTTTTGTAGAAATGAACTGGAACGGTACGAAAGTAATATGATTGACATTGTCGGTATGACGTGTGCTCTATCTGGGTTCAAGATCATAGTTGACTCCTTTCTGAGATGTTATTCCGTTTGAATAGCTGTATATTGGGCTTAAGCGATCGGGGTCGCAGTTCACAATAGCCGGAGGTGGCAAAATCAAGAAGTTAATTGAATTGTGTATAAATTATCGACTTAATAAAGTGTTTTTAAAGGATGTCGACTTAATAAAGTGTTCGCAATTATATAATTTCTTATCATGGTCTACTATGAACTAAATTAAAAACCTAACTTTTTCCCACAAAGAGTTAGAAGGATACTTATCCGTACTAAGTTGTAGAACTACTCAAAATATGACATATTGTTCAGGGTGTCGACTACCTGGAAAAACCTGGAAAGTCAGGGAATGTCAGGGAATTCTATTTATGATCTGGAAAGTCAGGGAATGTCAGGGAATTTTAATGTAGGTCAGGGAAAAAAATAATGTTGATCACATTGCAAAAAATCATGTGTGGGACACATAAAACAATCTTTGAAATTTTATCAGTGCATGACGTCAAAGTTTTTGGGAAGATAGAGAGGTACAAAAAGGTGGCGAGAAGCTGATAGATCTGGGAAGCTGTGGGCTGTATATTTTTTTTTTGTATATGTGTTCGCAGGATTAGTTGGGATGTTGTCAAATATTTGCGTGGTATCTACAATATCTTCAAAGATGTACCAGCAAGATCTACCATATTCCCGCTAAAGTTTTGAGGTCACCGATGGTTGGAAAATAGTGCTGCTGTTCAGAGGGCAATCAAAATTACTCCGCAAATACGAAAATTTATTCAAGGCGTCCAGAAAGACAAAATTTAACCCACGTCAGCTTCCTACCAAGATGTTAAAAACTGTTTGAATGTCTCGCTGCTGATGGCTAATAGTACGTTCAGACTACAGATTTATAACATGTTATAGCACTATCTTGATGGTGGTTTCTGTGTTGCTATATTTGACAAACGTTATAACATGTTATAACTCTGTAGTCTGAACGTGGTATTAAGCTAGCTTTCTTTAAATCAGTTGCTGTCGAAGTTGAGCCATTTCAATGCGAATTTCAGATGGACCTTTTATGGTGCCTTTTTTGTGCAACGCAATGTCTCAAATGGTTAGAGGCGTTATGGAAAGGTTCATTAATATTAACCATCTGAACGGTGTACATTCTGAACGACGTCTCGACTGTAGCATAATGCAACTTCATATGGATGTTGTAGAATTTGCTTCTTCTAGGGCTAATTATTCGGACATGATTCTTATGCTCGGTGATTTCAATCAACCTGGGCTTATCTGGTCGCACTCAGGTCAGGGATTTGCATATCCAGATCCAAAAGCATCTGTTACTACTCCGGCCAGCCGCTTGCTTGTGGACGGTACTGGTTTTCATGGATTGAGGCAGATAAATCTAGTTCCCAACTTTCAGTCTAATTTCCTAGACTTGGTGTTCATTAGTGAAAATTCACTTCTTGACTGTACCGTTACTGAGGCGCCTGATGTCATCGTTCCTCTTGACAACTTCCATCCTGCTTTGGATATTTCTATCGCAAATAGATCTCAACTTCACTTTGATGAAACTTCGATTGTCTATCGTCTCAACTTCCGGAAGACTGATTTACGTTTGCTGCGACGTTCCTTGTCCGAGATAGACTGGAACGAATTGAACGAATTCAACGTGGTATCCGACCAATTCAATTTTGGCATCACTTCATCCAGATTTCGTAATCGCTTAATGTCGGGCAATTTTAATGTATGACTACTTTTAGCTTTAAGTGTTTTATTAAGACTTTAAAGTCAGATGGACTAATAATAAATAATAATAACAATATTGCACAGGTAAATGCACATTTGATCAATATGATCGCAAAAACGGAACGACTGGACGTTTTTTGGCACAGGTTATTGGTCGGCGTATTCAGAACTATTGTTGGTTGTGAAAATGATTTGCTGCTGATCGCATGGCAACGCCAATGCAGAGAGAGGTTTTTCGGTAAATGCAGAATATCTTTGAAAACATGAGGGAAGAGTCAAGGCCCAAGCGCAATGACAGCGGAACGGCAGTGGAAGCGGAAAAGCCCGATCTGAGTAAGCCTATTTGTCGGATTGAAAACTAGTTAAGGCCGGCGCACAATAGATACGTTTTCGGGTTTTTTGACAGATAATGCATGGGCTAACTGTCAAAAAAACCGTTTCCGTTCCGCTTCCGCCCACATTGCGTTTGGGCCTTCTGTCGTAGTGCGACGTCAGATCTATGATGGTGTTACTCATGCAAGCGGGTTCGAAAACTTACAAATTTTGAATGAAATTATTCAGCGAGTTCGAAAAATCGCATTCGCCTTATTAGAGAGTTGTATAAATTTTTCTCCTTTAGCTTACTTAAATCTTTGGTTTTTATTAGTTAGGTAGGTTCCGATTCAACACATTGTAGTTTCATTTTTATACCTATGATCTTGACTTTTTTACCTAGGGGATGAGTACTTAAGGGGGTTAGATTTTGATAAGTTCTTTAGTGGGAATGACACTGATGAAGACTGCACATTGTAGTCGAAATACGTATCTGTCATGGATACCAAAATTAAGTGGAATTAAATGGAAGATAACCCTTTTTGCTGTTTTATTTAGCATTCCGCTAACAACCCAATTTCATTACTTCATTATGATGGCTACCAAGCCTTTTGGGAATTTCCTTATTAGAGAGTTGTATAAATTTTTCTCCTTTAGCTTACTTAAATCTTTGGTTTTTATTAGTTAGGTAGGTTCCGATTCAACACATTGTAGTTTCATTTTTATACCTATGATCTTGACTTTTTTACCTAGGGGATGAGTACTTAAGGGGGTTAGATTTTGATAAGTTCTTTAGTGGGAATGACACTGATGAAGACTGCACATTGTAGTCGAAATACGTATCTGTCATGGATACCAAAATTAAGTGGAATTAAATGGAAGATAACCCTTTTTGCTGTTTTATTTAGCATTCCGCTAACAACCCAATTTCATTACTTCATTATGATGGCTACCAAGCCTTTTGGGAATTTCCTTATTAGAGAGTTGTATAAATTTTTCTCCTTTAGCTTACTTAAATCTTTGGTTTTTATTAGTTAGGTAGGTTCCGATTTAACACATTGTAGTTTCATTTTTATACCTATGATCTTGACTTTTTTACCTAGGGGATGAGTACTTAAGGGGGTTAGATTTTGATAAGTTCTTTAGTGGGAATGACACTGATGAAGACTGCACATTGTAGTCGAAATACGTATCTGTCATGGATACCAAAATTAAGTGGAATTAAATGGAAGATAACCCTTTTTGCTGTTTTATTAAGCATTCCGCTAACAACCCAATTTCATTACTTCATGTATTTAAAGCCCTAGGTCTATTCACATCCTTCGTAGGTAGTCGGTCATATGGTCTGTAAAAATTGTATTAGTATCAAGTTCTGTTGTAAGTGCCATGAGTATGCTATTCTTGATATTTTCGAAAGCTTACCCTGCTGCTCATTTTAAACTAACCTTAATTTACGCTACGGTATAATAAAGCACATCACGTTGTAGCTTCTTAGGTTAAAATAACGAAGTTTTGTGGACTGGAATTTTTCTGAAAACCGACTGGAAAGTCAGGGAAAGTCAGGGAATTTTATTTTCGACTTTGAGTCGACACCCTGTTGTTGAAGATACCAAATTTCTATGTTCAATAGTTTTGGAAATATAAATCGTTTTCTATGGTTTACCCTGTTTATGACTGCATATAGGGGAATCTCTAATTGCTCAAAAAAAAACAAATAATTGGTAGTAGGTTCAATATCACCGCTGCAATGATTAATGACCAATTAATTTATTTCCAACCATAAGAAATCGAAGGCAAATGAACAGGAAGTTCACTATGCCCCACCTGTTCACTATGCCCCTTCGTCCCCTAAAAAGGTCGCACTGTACTGAACAGCTTTGCCGAAGACGGGATAGTTCTATATGGTCAGAATCACGAGATATTATGCAAAACAGTATTTCTTTGCTCACTAGTGCCACCACGTTAGACGGTTCTGCTGAATAATTCTTACTGTCATTTATTTATTTATTCGTCGTCAATTAAATGTAGACCAGTTTAAGGTACAAAAAAACACATCTATTTTAATTTTTAATTTCTGACTAACCTCGAAAATAATCGTTTTTTAAGAGCATTTTTGTTCAATTGTTTCATAATGTTCATTATAACAAGACATCATTCTATTGAAAGGCACATTCCTGGTATAGTTTGTTCACTGTGTAGTTTGGCATTCACTCTTTGTGCTACAACATCGTTTATAAAACCTATCATTACAAACTGCCTTCGCTTTTCAAGTGCATTAGATAGGCCTATGCCAACCGAACAACTTTGTCGAAGATGGGAACATTCCATATGATCTGGATCTTCACATATCTTTTAAATCAATACTTACACTGACTAGCGCTACCTAACTACTATTACTGCAATCAGAATGTGCTTACTCAAGTGAACAAAATTCGCCAAAGACGAGAACTTTACGTAAGGTCAAGATCATGCGATATATGACAGAATTATATTTTATATTACGCACTAGCGGACACTTTTTAAACTAAAATCTGGCAGTTTAGAGGTCTCACACAACTTTGCTGAAGACGGGAACTTTCCGAGCGTTTTTACTCAACTGAATAACTTTGCCGAAATTGAATATTGTGTATGATTATAGTCTTAAGATATCACATAAATCATATTTTTCGTCATTAAAAGATTTCACGATTTTATTGCCCTTACCATTTAGACCATTCAGAAAGCCTTGTTGTCCTTTGATGTACCACTCGATTCGTGGCTGCATGACACTAGCATCACTGTCTGCAGAAGCTCCGCAAATCGGGTTTCTTCTTTGGCTTTATTACGTTTCTACTGGGACTTTAAACCGACTCTCAACTTAGTGTTCTTTGAGCACTTCTACAATTGTTATTTGAGAGCTATCTACCCAAGTAACCAACAAGCCCGTTAATCGCCCTTTTTGCTATATAAGGCTGGTATACGACTGATATAAAGTTCAGAAACTCTATATTTACCTTATATCGCAAAAAGGGCGATTATCGGGTAGTTAGCGGGCTTGGTGGTTACTTGGGTAAGCCAGTACCATTTTTGCATTAGTATTCTAGTGTTGGAAGTACCCAGGGAAGTCGAGAAATTTTTCAACCCGCCATGGTCTTACTTTATAGCTGCGCCTTCACCTACTGAGCCAAGGGAGACCTAACCCGCAGATCGGCTTCTACCTGGTCGATCCATCTTGCTCACTGCACACCTCTTCGTCTAGTTCCAGTCGGGTTATTTTCAAAAAACATTTTCACCAGGTTGTTGCCCGACATTCTTACGACGTCACCAGCCCACCGTAGTCGCCCGATTTTTGCGGTGTGAACGATGGGTGGTTCTCCCAGCAGCTGGTGAAACCTTGCCGAAGACAGAATCTTTATATTTGGCCATGATCACAAGGATGACATTCCGCGGAAATCGCCGCCAGGATCATTTCTCTATACAATAGCTAGTGAGTTAATTCCGAAGTAAAATGTCCACCATGACCGACTGTTTACTAAACAACTTTACCGATGACTGGAATAGTCTATATTGGTATTTGCATTTAAAATAATTCATCTAACAGTAGTTTTAATGAATAAAATAAGTGGTGTTGAGTACTTGGCACTGATGAAGTCTGCAAGTAGTAGACGAAATACGCGTATCTGTCAAAAGATAAGCAATTATAACGGAATTTAAAGGAAATAAACCAACCCACTCAAAGCTCTTCATAAAGGGATTCCGTTAAGAAGTTCGACAAATTTTAAGGATAAAAACTAATTTAGCCGAGATCAAATCCGATCATATTGTGTGGATATTAAAATATCAACAAGAAAAGAAACATATTTTTATGTAGCTGGGCGGATATGAGTTCATGTTGTACGATGTTTTGAGAATCCTACAATCTCTTAATGACTAAATTTATTGTGGGTAATATCCTTTCAAAAATCATTCTAGCTTTCTATGAAGTCTAATTAGAGCACTTCAGGGTTTGTTTGAATTATTCTTACCGTAAAGCTTAGTCACGTGAATCTACGTTCACCTGTTTCTAATCCATTGCCAAAATCCATCAGTATCTTTTCAACTGAAACAACATCTAGTCATGAATTTAAAATTTTGATTTATTCTCCCTTATTGCTATAAGTCATAATTATTCCTTGACTCCAAGGTTCCGTGTTCCCCCTTCAGAGCATTTTTCTTCCAGACGTGGCGTGTGTTGACCACGTGCATCATAATTCTGCGCATCCACGCAAGCGTAAACATTTCACGCTCAGAGTGGTAGACAATTTATGGACCCTTCCTTGCAAATTGAGAAAAAAAAAACTGCAAAATCTCCCCAATGAGCAATCTATTCCATTCATCCCTCCATGAAGGTCATTGCAATTTCGCCAGTCGAAGGATCGTGGCACGCTTCTTGTTATGCCTAACAATAATGGGCCCCTAACTTCCCATGCCCCTTTTTCCGCCGCACAAACATACACACACACACTATTTCCTCCGGGTTGACCTTAGCCGCAAAACATTGGAAACGGTGCGAGTAACTAGTTCACCACGCTTGCCCAATTCGAGATCATGGCAGCGAGCGTTAGAATCGACAATTAAATACAACACAAAACGCCACACGGTCTCGCACTGGAAATGCCATTCGGAACTTCGGCTCACAGTCTGCCTCTCATTATCGGTTGTTTGTACCGGCGCGGGGTGGTGGAGTCGATTCGTGTTTCGTTACGGTCGAAAACAGTGACGATTTCCATCCATCCGCCCAGCACCTCCAACGGTAGCGTTTTTTTTTTATTATTCCTCCTTGCTTCCATCGCCACCACAATCATCATTGTGTGTGCTGAAGTAGAATCGCAAACTGGAACACCGGAACCTTGAAACGGTGGTTCAATGAGTCTCTTTGCGGTTCAGCCGGCTGTAAGTACTCTTTTCGCGTGCTCTATGACCCCAATACTCGACAACAAGCTGCGGCTTCTTGAATCACCATGTTAAATCTGAAATGCATCTAACGAAATAGTAGTAAAGGCTAACTCTAAAAGTAATTTGGTCGGACCGGGACCGGCCATAGCAAAGAGTTCTCGGGATCTGAACTTCAGCACATTTTTAGCTAATCTGACCGACCATTCCTAAACGAAACAGTAGCGGAGACTCAATCAATCAAACTCGACAATGATTGCGAAAAATCTGCTAACCAGTCAGTAGCGAGCGGCTCAGCACCCAATCTAATTGGTTCGTACTTCCCCCGCACGTGGACCTTGGACTTTTGATACTCCAAAATCCAAGACTCGGATAAAACCAGTAAACAGTAGGTAGGCATGGGGTAGCTTCGCAAACCCAACTTTACACTCTGCAGACCGGGGCTATAACAATAGAGAGAGAAAAACCGGTTGCCGAGCACGTGTTGCAATGTTGACATTGAGAGAGCTGTACGAAGGACCCGCGCCGCCGCCGAATGGTTGTTGGTTTTCTCGCTCTCGCTGTTAGCATGGGTCGAAACGTCAGCAGCAACGTGGTACGGTACTACGACATGAATTTCAACTTGGTGGCTGCTGTTTCATAGTGTGCATTGCAGTTGGCACTGAATGAAACATGCTTTCGGGTTGCCCGCACTCCCGAGAAGAGCTAGGTGTGTGCGGTGTGGCACGCTGTTGGGTGGCGAATGGTAAGTCGTAGACAAACACTGGATTCGACATCAATTCGACACGATTTTTGACCGGTGCGGTGGAGGCACATCGGGGCCTCGCCCCGGGGCGCGTTGCCGCAGCTAGTCACTTTTGTTCATTGAGAGAGCGTCTTGTTGGGAAAGGGTTCAGAGGTGTTGCTTTGATTTTGTAGAGTGCAAAATGTTGCAAATTTTCCTTCATGTCGGCGATACATATGTAAGCTGGAAGCAAAAATCATAAGGTAAGGTAATTTGGTAGTTCAATTAGCAAAAGATGTGTTTCAATCTGCTTCGAATTTTACTCGACTTTGCAGGTGTTGTTGAATGTGTTCAACAATTTTGAAAAAGTCTAGTTGTATGATCATTAGCTGACAATTTATCAATTCATTAACAATGGATTCAAAAAACATTATTCATTCAAATGTCGGAAAAACAGTTCTAGTGTGATTCTTTAAAACACTTTATGAGCTATTTCCCTATTCCCTTAATCGATTTACCAACTTTTCAATGTAAAAGGTAAGAGGGACTTAACGCGTAAGACAAGACTGATGGATTCAATAGGTTATGGGAATTCTGGATAAAATATGTATTGAAGTTATGAATGCTATTCATAAAATACAATGATTGATAATCTGAACTTAGTGGTAAACAGGAATTTGAAAAAAAATAATAATTCAAAATGATGGGTGTTTGATAAAATGGTCGAACTTCGTAAACTGCCAAGTATGTTAATATTGCTCGGAATGTCATTATAGACATTTTCATTATTGTGGATTTAAATGTGTATTTATTTCCATGAACTAATTTTCTCTATATGTTATAAAAACATTTATGAGCAATTGTTACGTTATGTATCAATGGTGAATGGTTTAAGTCAAATGCAATGAAGCTGGACTTTTCAAGCTTTTCCATGCAAGAAACACTTTCAGAAAAAAAAAACAAATTATTTTACGTTGGCAGAAATTAGCCAAACCGCTACTAAATTGAATATCTTGGCTTGGTTACGGGAAGAGAAAAGTCTACTGAATCGATTGACCGGAGACTTTTTCCTGCCAATGTATCGCCCGTAAAGGAGGTCATATCATGAAAATCGTTTCAGAACCATTGCGATATGTTCTGTTTTCTGAGATCGTTGCCTACACAGCCCCAGGAGTCTTCCAATTGTTCTACCATGTGTTGAGAATCATAGACGTTTTGGGCTGAAGTGGGCATGTTCTGGTTCTCTGGGTTCCTTGTTATTGTGTGCTTTGGTTAGACCGAAATTGGTTAGGTTAGTCAGAAATAGTCTATTATTTCTAAGGATACTGTACTTACTGTACTCTGATGATGTTTTCGAGAAGTTTTTTTCTTCTCTTAAACAGGAGCAGTTCTTCCGAGGGATATTTGGTACACCAGGATTTAATTTAATTTATTTGTTCAAGTTACCGTACGAAAACTGAAAAAATAAACAGGCATAAACCGTTGTAACGTTACGTATAATGACGCGTTCAGCTAGATAAAATTGATAGATAAATAAATAATCGAACTGTCCTGAAACTTTGTGATTTCTTATAACATGCTCAGAATCACAAGATTTGCTTTTAAACCTACTTATCATTAAATTAATATGTTGAGCTGAACTGATCATATTCTAGTTCTTCGAATGATCAATAGATTGACGCTGTATTTGGAAAACAAAAAGAAATTAAAGGTTCAGGTCGCACTCAGGCATCATTTTGAAGATTTCGATTTTAATTTTTAACGGCGCCGGTGGTGTAGTGGTAAGCGTGATTACCTCTCACTCCAGCAGGCCTGGGTTCAATCCCAGTCGGCGCCGCCGGGATGTTCTGAGGCATAACATCTCTGATCACGCCTTCCTTCGGATGGGAAGTAAAGCCGTTGGTTCCCGGTTCATGAGTTGATGGGTCGATAGGTAGGGTCCAGGTGTGGGAGCTGCCTTCCTGGCACGTCGGTAGCATTGGTGCTCAGCACGGAAAACAAGATCGACGGAAAAAAACAAACCAAAGGAAAAAAAAAAAATTCTAAATAATCAAGGTTTAAAGAGTTTTAGATCACTGGACATTTTAAGACATTTTTTTTCACTGGATAAAGTTTTTAGTGTTCAGACTAAAGAGTAAATAACAGTAGGGTAAGTTGGTGGTGTGCCAGTTTTAACGATTTTTCTTTCTTTTCCAAAACATTTTACATTTAATGTATTGATACAACTCTGGAACATATATTTTGCCTTATGTCTACGTAAATAAAACCGTGAAAATTCATTTCAAATTTGATCTAGGCCTTATGACCACAACTGGCACATTTACCTTTTTGTTAAACAAAGAAAAAAAAAAATCATTGTCGTGGATTAAAAATATCGTTCAGGATCTTACAGTCAAAGTAATATTTACATAATATCGGGCTAAAAGTAATTTTCAAGACTTAATAAAATAGGAGAAATGTCGGCTTCGGCAATACCTTTGCCTATTCTCGTCAGGGGATAAACCAAAGTCCTAGAGCACTCAAATTTGGCCAATAGATGCTCTGAAACACAATGTATCCACATGTCAAAATTGAGCTCTCAAGAATGTTGTTTACCCCCCTGACGATAATAGAATAAGGTATTGCCGAACCCGTCATGTACCCTACCTAGATTCTAAATTATGAAAATTGTTGAAGATACCCGACAAAATGTCACGATCCTACTTTGCAAAAGTATCAAGATGTCATTCTTGGAATTGGTTGATTTCCCGATTTTGGGCCTTAGAAGTGTGTTTTTAGATATATTGATTAATTTCCAAATTTCGGAGTCCTAAGTCGTTAGAGACACCGTGCTCTGCGAACGTTTTTTTTTCGAAAATGTTGACCAACGGC